TGTTCTCATCCTCTTCAATTTCTCGCGCAAATCTTTGTCCATGTCCAGGGTAAGCCCTTCGTGATATCGTCTAGATACGAGGGAGTGCCAGATGCCCATTAATTTCTTGGAAGATGATTGAAAACGTTGGATAATGCTATTAATACGGTTATTTCATTTCACAGAAGTTTAGTTAACACAATCAGATTAAGAATAATTACTAGATCTTTTGAGCATTACACTCACATTATATCTACTCTGTATGATAAACTTTTAATTAATCGTATGTAATAATAATAATTTTGGAGTTCAATGTTAGATTCATCAGAATTTAAAATCATTTTGCTACTAATCGGAACAAATAAAAATTTTTTAATTTTTTAGTTAAACATTTGTTTACTATAACACTAAAAATAATCAAACAATTTCAAAAACTTTCATAACAATGAGAAAAATTTAATGAAACAAACTCGAGTTAAAAGAAAACCGTTTTAATTTTTATTTTTAATGAATGATAATTAAACTTCTGAATGAGTTGCTAAATTAATGAACTGAGTAATTTCTGAGTAATTATCGTAAAAATTTCATTTGTTTTTAGAAACCTTAAAAAGATTCTTTAATCAACTGAATCTTTTTAAAAGTAAGTTTGGATTATTTTTTTTAAACAAACAAAAAAAAAACTATTTTAATCGAAAAAAAAAATTCAAATAGTTTTCCAAATTTTTTCAAGCTAAAATCACATTCTAAATTTTTTTTACAAGAAAATGCGATGATTTTCAGTTAAAAAAAATTGTTCTTGATTGAAGAATTAGATCTTACCGATCAAAAATGATATATTTTTTTTTAATTTTGGTCAAGTCACAATAATTATCGATCAGAATTGATTCTGTAGTTTTTAAACTAAGAAAATAAATTCTTGATATAAAACAGCCAGCCAGCTTGATTCAAAATAATTATTTTAGTTCATTTTTCTTGAAGATAGTTATTCCATCAGAGCATTTATTAAGAAACTGATTATAAAAAAAATGACTTTGCTTTCATTAAAAATGAATAATTTTTTATGTAAATGTAATTAAAAAAAAAAAAGTTATTCACAAAACACCAACTACTTAAATTATTATGAAAAAGATATATTTTTCATTCAATTGACCGCTGAAAAGTTTAGTGCTTAAGACCATACCAAGACGGAATTCCGTAGACATTCGAAGTAGTTAGCTCACGGAAATTCGGATAGGGTGTTCTCCTAATACCCTGTTGGTCGATGTCGAATCTCCGTTTTCTCCGCCCCCGATCATCCGCGACCCCAGTTATCCCCCAAAGATTTTGTTACTTCGCGTAACCCTTTAAGCTATAACTATCTTGGCAACTCGAAATACTAAGGCTACCTAAACTATCTTAGTTTCTAGAAATTACACGAATAGAGGTCCTCCTATATAAAGTAGTATAAAAGTATTACAATTAATATTAATAATCTTATTTTATTGAAAAAAAAAAAATGTTTTTTCATTTTCCTCCTTTCTGGCCGTTGAGTTCTTTACTTAAAAAAATTGAAAACTATTTTCTACACTAAAAAAAAAAAAAAAAAATGAACTTGAATCAAGAGAAGAATTCTTCGATCAAGAAAATAATTTTGAAGATTTTCATTGTCTTAAATCAAAAAGAAATTCCTTGAATCAAGTAAAATTTAGTTTAACCAAGAAAAATTTATTAGTTTCAGAATTGTTCTACTCAAATCAAGATCATGAAAATTCTTCAAAATCATTTTTTTGATTCAAATTAACTTTTTTTACCGTGTTTATATAGTAAAAATTTTTAATGTTACAAAATAATAAATTGAACTGGATTATAAATATATGTACAAAAAAAAATTACTTAATCGGCTATATTGAATTTTAATGATCCCTTTAAGAACACGTCTTAAGGTCTGATTGACCAAGTCTCTCTTTCTCTCTCTGCAATTTCATAAGAGCCACCAATTTAGTGAGAGGAAACTCCAATCTCTTGCTTTATCTCTCTCGAGTATTTACTATTTCAATCTGTAAATTCATAGGAGCGTTGTCATCTTAAATCACTAGAATTAATTAACTAGTCAAGTAACAAGAAGTCTACAAGCTTTTATACACTATATACTATAGTGAATATATACTAATTTCAAGATGAGCCAAAGGATAGAATGAAACGAGTTAAACTTTGCTTTTCAAACTATATAGATTTTAAATATGTCAATATCGTTAATTAAAGTTACTCTAATCAATACAGACTTTCATTTATTCGATATTACGTATAATATATTACGGAGGTACGAAATAATAATTACTTATAATACGAATGATTGAGCTAGTTAATAAAACACTTTATTTGGGCGGAATGTTTTCATAATGAGGATTTTCATTTTGAATCCAAAATTACGATTTGACTTAATAATTAATTTCATATAGTGTTCAATCAATCTTAAGTGAGGACGTGTTTTTAAAAATTTAATTATTTTTCCAATTACTATTTGTTCAAATTTCTAAATGATGTAAAATATATTCTAATTCATATGCCATCAAAATTTATTTGAAAAAAGAACCAAAAACAATTTTATTTCTAAAATTTCTATAAAAGAATTAGTTTTATAAAAATGAAATTAATAAAAAAAAAAAAACAATAAAATCTAAAACTTGTCATTTTTATTAACACTATACATCAAAAAACTTTTCATTAACCTTTTTTTGAATTAATTCTTATTCTTAATAATATGAATTCAGTACAATAATATATTGTAATTACCGTATCGACAAATATTTATTATAACTGAAAATTTTGATGCATTACTTTATCTATTTTTTAATTATTATAGGCCGGCTATTAACTCATTAAAATATCGGTTTTATATATGAATAAAGCGGTTAAAAATATCTATTCTACTAAATCGTCTCGGGAGTTTAGTAATAATGTTGAAATTAACCCACATTGAAAAATAAACATAATTGTTATCAATGGACAAGAAAAAAAAATTAAATAGTGTAAGATTAATTTTAGTCATCAATTAGTTCAAAGTTTATCATCATACTGTGATTATAGATTACATTTTATTATAGATTATATTTTTTATGAAAATATTTTTTTTTTCAATCTCAGTCAACAATTCGAAATACATACATCACATCTCAGTAACCACCAACTTATTATTTAATAAAATTATTATATGACTTCACGAATACTGAAAGTTTGCAAGTAAGAATTTATTTTAATTAGTCAATTAAATAATTATTGTGGCCTGACCGGTCATTTATAAACTTAACTATTTAAAAATATTAATAAGTAGTAATATATACTTTGTAATTTTGTAAATTACGTTAAATTTTTGAAATAAATATTAATACCCTGAATAATAGTTTCCGTTTTAGTAACTTATTAAAAACTTAAATGTCAGTTATGGTCTATTCAAGCAATTATTAAATATTGATTGTTAATGTTGATAATGACTATAAAATAAGTCAATAATTAAATTAAATTTTAAATTGAGGCAAAATGTCAATTGCATTTAAAGGATTTAGTTTAATAATGTTTATTATTTTAATTTTATAGCGGTTTAAGTAAATAACTTTAAATAAAATCATTTTTTTAATATGTCAAAAATAATTTACTTGTATTAAGTAAAAAAGTTTGGAAAATCCAAAAGTGCACGCCTCATAACGCTCATTCATTTTTTAAGAAAAAATAAATTGTGTAATTGATTAAAAAAAAACAAAAATTATAATTGAGTAATTTTTTATCGAGTATTTTTTTTTTTTTTTTTAAATATCAGCGCCCTTTTTTCTTGTCATATGCGCACACAGTCTAAAAAAATCTAGCTTGATCAAGTGGCGCCATAGTTTTCACGTGACAAATTAGAAAAATTGGTTTGTCTTTGTACGGTTGTATTGTAGTGAATTTTAATAAAAATTCAATTTAAAAAAAAAAATACGTAAACTAGGCTACTGATATGAAATACGGACCTAGTTCATCGCATTCTTAAACTAATAAAAAAGGTCCGGTCTTGAATTTAAGTGTTTTCTCGGTGTACATCTACTTATATTATTGTATAAGTGTAATATGGTTGTGATAGAGACATTTAAAGATCACAAAATTGCTTGACCTTGACGAGTCGAGTATAAAGCACAACCTTCAGAAGGTAATTGTGTTTTTGTCTGAAAACAGAGAATAATTAGATAATTACAATCGAATGATCAGTAATTATATACTTTAAATTTCTAAAAAAGTAAAAACCGGATTTTATGATGAAACCAACATTAACACTTTGTCATAAAATTTTTTGCTTTTTTTTTTCTAACAAAAAAATTACTACTAAGAAAATATTTAAGATAAAACGCATTTATAATGTTTTAATATTTTTACAAGTGGAATTCTTTATTAAACTTCTTCTTTATTTTTCAAGGAAAATCGTAAAAATTATCAGATATCTTTTAATTGCAACGATTTGATTTTAAACGTATAAAATTTTTCACAAAAAAAAATACAGCTTACATATTTAAAATAAAAACAATATACATTGTCCAGTTAATTAAATATTTTTAACTTTTAAAAAGAATTTATTAAGCCGAAAAATTCCAAGAACATTATTTTTTCAGTGGATGGAAAATTTTCATTATAAGTGTGTAAATATAACTCTTGAATATGTTTATCATTTTAATTTTTTTATAAAAAAGAAAAATTAACAGATAGCAAATAAAACAAATATTCCCTGATTAAAAAAAAGTATTGAACCTATGCAACTGTATATCTATATTGTATGTATATACAGATATACAGTGTGTGTAATTCAATACTTTTTTTTAATCAGGGTTTCCACTATCTTAATCTAGATCTGACTTGATGTCAACCAATATATTAGAGTATAAGTACTTATTGAACATAATATACCTCTAATAGATTTAATACGACCCGCTCCAGAATTCACGCATACTTTCATCACCTAGATATACGTATGTGAGATAGTATTCTATCTATATAACCTCCATGTGGATTAAATATACATGCATAGTAAACCGGTCTTGTCACTAACTCAATTCCATTATTCGACCGCTGTAACTCACGTGACAACTATATTAAATATAATACATTTATGCTCTTTGATGCTGCTTAATTACATTATTTGTGACGAGTAAATTATTGGTAAAGTTTATTACAATACATTACAATTAATCAATCATACTTGTAGATTTTTCAACAGAGGAATGGCAGTCGACGCACGTGGTATTGTACTCTCTGGTACTAATCTCGCCAAGTAAGTTTTTATTATTTGTCAATAACATTTTAGTGACTTAAAATAATATGCTAAACACCGAAAATAATATTCTATCATTCATCACTACAATTAACAATTAATTATCATATTCTGACCTTGAATGTGAATTCTTCACAAAATTAATCAAACTTTTAGTAATATAATTATTTTTTATTATTATTGAGTAAAAAAAAATTTATAAAATAAATAATTTTCAGAGAAATTCGCGAGTCATTAGCCAAAGATGTAATGAACATAAAGTCAAAACTGCCAGATTTTTCACCGGGATTAGCAATTGTTCAAGTCGGTGGTCGAGAAGATTCAAATGTCTACATTCGTATGAAAATAAAAGCTGCTTCTGAAATTGGAATCAACGCTACTCATCTCCAGCTTCCCAACACCACTACTGAAATGGAACTTATGAGTAAACTTCGTAAATTAAACAATGATCCCCAAACTCATGGTATTATTGTACAAATGCCACTTGATAGTGTCAATAAAATAAATTCTGATTTGATCACTGACGCTGTAATACCTGAAAAAGATGTTGATGGGTAAGAAAATTTATTCCAATAAAATTTTAATAATATTTTTAGTTTAAAACTTACTTATTTTTAACGACGACAATAATGTTTGCAGACTTAACACAATAAATGAAGGCCGAGTAGCTATTGGAAATATGTATGGATTTCTACCTTGTACTCCGAATGGTTGCATTGAGCTTATTAAAAAGTAAAAAATACATTAAATTTATTTTATTTTTTTTTTTTTGATAATTCATTAAATATTATATTAAAAATAATAATATTTTTGATATTAAGGAGTGGAGTTATTATTGCTGGAGCAAATGCTGTCGTTTTGGGTAGAAGTAAAATTGTAGGTACGCCTGTAGCAGAGTTGTTGAAATGGCATAATGCTACTGTAACCGTCTGTCACTCTAAAACTAAAAATTTACCATCAGTTGTAAGTTTAAATAAAAATTATTATTTTTATTACACATATTTATAAAATTAATTAAATTATAAAAAATAATTATTTGTAATAATTATTTAGGTATCCCAAGCTGATATTCTTGTCGTAGGTATTGGCCAACCTGAAATGGTGAAAGGTTCTTGGATAAAACCTGGAGCAGTTGTTATTGATTGTGGAATTAATTCTATCCCAGGTAACTTTTATTCTTTAATAAATTAAACGAATCCCGGAAAAAATAGAACCTACAGTAATACATTTAAAAGAAATTTTATTAATGAATTTCAACAAAATCTTAAATCCAATAACCTTTTTAATTAATATACCATCCAAAATTCATAAAATTCATTAACAAAGTATTATTATAAAAATTTTTATTTTATCCGGGTCTATTTTTTCATATTATACCAAATTAAACAATATTGTCAACATAATTATTGTAATTTATGATTATTTTTCTAGATGCTACTAAAAAGTCGGGACAACGGCTGGTTGGTGATGTTGAATATGCAGAGGCAGCTAAAGTTGCTTCATACATTACTCCAGTTCCAGGTGGTGTTGGTCCAATGACTGTAGCAATGTTAATGAAAAATACAGTGATATCAGCAAAGCGATCAGCTGAAAAACTTATCAGTACTACGTGGAATATTCGTTCCTTGCCATTAAAAATTCAAAATCCTGTCCCGAGTGATATTATAATTTCTAGAAGTCAAGAACCCAAACCAATTGCTTATTTAGCCAATGAAATTGGCATTACTCCGGATGAAATCAGTCCTTATGGTTCAAAAAAAGCCAAAGTAAGTTTAAGTCTGTTGAACCGTTTAAAACATCAGAAAGATGGAAAATTAATAGTTGTCGCTGGTATTACTCCAACACCATTTGGCGAAGGTAAAAGCACAACAACTCTGGGATTAGTTCAAGCTTTGACAGCTCATCGCAATAAAAATTCAATTGCAACCCTCAGACAGCCGAGTATGGGTCCAACATTTGGTGTCAAAGGTGGAGCTGCTGGTGGTGGTTACGCGCAAGTTATTCCTATGGAAGAATTTAATTTACACCTGACTGGTGACATTCATGCTGTATCAACAGCTCATAACCTTCTTGCTGCACAAATTGATGCGCGATATTTCCACGAATCTACTCAAACAGACAAAGCGCTCTATAATAGACTTGTACCTATTGTCAAAGGAGTGAAAACATTCTCTAAAATTCAATTGAGAAGACTTGAAAAGCTTGGAATCAATAAAACTGATCCAAATTCATTAACTGAAGACGAAATTACGAAATTTTCTCGATTAGATATCAACCCCGAAACAATTATTTGGCCCAGAGGTACTGTAATAAATAATTATTTAAATTCAAATTACAGATAATAATTAGAATAAAACTTTATGAAATTTTTATTATTTTAGTCATGGATTTAAACGATAGATTTTTACGACAAATTACCGTTGGTAAAAGTCCAACCGAAAAAGGTATTACTAGAGAAACATCATTCCGCATATCTGTTGGATCAGAAATTATGGCTATTCTTGCACTAGCCACTGATATAGAGGACATGAAAAAAAGACTCGGTAATATTGTTGTTGCATTTTCAAAAAGTGGAGAACCATTAACTGCCGAAGATTTTGTAAGTTTTTACTTTTAATTTGTGCATTAATTTTTTAGCTATTTAAATCATTTCAGCTAATTGAAACATTTAACAGGGTATGACTGGAGCTATGGCCGTTCTTTTAAAAGACGCAATAGAACCAAACTTGATGCAAAGTTTGGAAGGTACTCCAATTTTAGTACACGCAGGACCATTCGCAAATATTGCCCATGGATGTTCATCTATTATTGCCGATAAACTTGCTCTGAAACTTGTCGGAGCTGATGGTATTGTTGTAACGGAAGCTGGCTTTGGTTCTGACATCGGTATGGAAAAATTCTTTGACATTAAATGTCGTACTTCAGGTCATTTACCTTATGCAGTTGTTCTGGTAACAACTGTAAGAGCTTTAAAAATGCACGGTGGTGGTCCAACTGTCACTCCTGGAGCACCTTTACAAAAAGAGTATTTAGAAGAGCATCTTGATCTCGTTGAAAAGGGCTTACCAAATCTGATTAAACATATTGAAAACGGAAATCAATTTGGCGTACCTGTTATTGTAGCTATAAATGTCCATGCCACTGATACTCCAGCAGAATTAAATCTTGTTAAAGAAGCAGCTCTTAAAAATGGTGCTTTGCAAGCTGTTATTTGTAATCACTGGGCTAAAGGTGGCGAGGGAGCACTGGATCTAGCCGACGCTGTTATTCAAGCAGTTGAACAACCCAGTAATTTTAAACTTCTCTACGATTTAGACACCAGCATTGAAGAAAAAATTAAAATAATTGCTATTAAAATGTATGGCGCTGGTGAAATCATTTTAGCTGATAAAGTTAAAGACAAAATAGCACGATACAATGAATTAGGATACAGCAAATATCCATTGTGTATGGCTAAAACTTCTAACTCATTAACTGGTGATCCAGCAATTAAAAATGCACCTCAAGGATTCCCACTTGAAATTACTGATATATTTGTATCCGTTGGAGCAGGTTTCGTTGTACCTATGGTGGGAGAGGTAAATTATAATTTCAACTATTATTTATTAATAAGTAAAAATATATTTTTAATACTTAACTTTTTTCTTGTAGATTATGATGATGCCTGGCTTATCAACAAGACCAGCAATTTATGATATGGATTGGAATAATGAAACAGATGAAATTGAAGGATTATTTTAAACATTCTCCATCCATAAAAACTATCACTTGTTCTTCCTCTATAAAATCATGATGATTAAATCTATATTTTTTCACAATTTATAATTTTATAAAAGACAGTTTATAATGTTGATAATAAAAAGAAAAAATATTTAGAAATATCAAACAGTGTTATTAACTTTATTACAATATCTACAATAGATGACAATTAACATTAAGTTATTTAACTTTCGCTATTGCTCGAAATTTAGCCGACCGAGATCGAGGATTCTCATTAATTTCTTCATCACTAGGAAGTATAACATGTTTATGAAGCATTCTCCATGGCGATTCAGTCATATCCACAACTTGACTGTGAGAAAAAGTTTTTCCATAATTTTGGAATCTCATTGATGAAATATTAGCAGCATTATCAGTTATATTACCAGACAAATGACGTTTTACAACCGTATCTTCAAGTGAATGAAAAGATATTGTAATAAGACGTCCATTGATTTTTAAATATTTTTCAGCAATTAATATTGCATAATTTATTTCATTTAATTCATTATTAACAAATATTCGTAATGCTTGAAAGACTTTAGTAGCCGAGTGAGCAAATCTACCAAGTCTATCAGTTCGAAAATCTTTATCAAGAACAGACTCCACTAAACGTGCAAGCTCTTTAGTTGTTTTCAAGCTTTTAAACATGTATCTTGCTTCAATAAGAGCACGAGCTATTTTTTTATATTGTTTTTCTTCTCCGTAATACTTTATTATGCGAGCTAAATCTTGTTCAGTACATCTTTCTAATACATCAGCAGCAGTCGGCTTATCTGGACATCGAAATCCATCCATTCGCATATCAAGAGGTCCATCCTTTGATAAAGCAAAACCCCGCTCTGCAATATCAAACTGCATAGAAGAGCAGCCAAAATCAAAAATAAAACCATCAATGCTATTTGGCAAAACTCTTTGTTCTTTCAATAATCCTGGTAACTCTGAAAATCTTCCAAGTAATGGTATAATTTGTCCAGGATATTTTTCTGCCATAATCTTAGCATAATTATGAGCAACCGGATCTCTATCTAATGCATAAATTTTAATATTTGGTGCAGATTCAATAATTCGAGTTGAATGGCCACCAGCGCCGAAAGTCATATCAATAAATGTCTCACCAGCTGAAGGTTTTAAATATTTAATCACTTCATTAACCATAACGGGTGTGTGAGGTCGAGTATATACTTTTTCTGATAGTTCTGCAGCAACTTGAGTAAAATACCTTACACCCAGCTTTAAAGGTAATTTATTTAGTATTAGCTGGTTCATTTCTATCATCATGTTTTGCAGCATAGTCTAATATTCTTTGAAAGAAATTACGTTTTTGTCTCTGGTAACTCTCTAATACTTCAGGACTTAGAGCGCAATTACACTGTTCGTAACTTAAACCAGTTCCTGAACTATTAAGCTTTCGAGGATATAACTTTGCGTAATGATTTGATGATATTCTTTGAAGACTTGTGTAGTTACGATCACACTCTTCTTTTTCAGCTTGACTTCGTACTTTATTAGTAGAAAATTCTAATTTTATTCGATCTCTAATGTACTGCCCCAAATCTCTGAAAATTAATATAAATATTAGCACACTACAGTAACAATAAAAATAGCAGATGCACGATTTTAATATGAATAAAAAAAAAATGAATTTCAATAATTTTTTTTAAATCTTGAAATCATTTTAATAACTTTTGAATCTTTGCTATTTTTGATTTTATAATATCAAAAATAAATCGTAATTCATAAAGAAAACTTCATCATTGAAAAATATTATTGCACAATATTGTAAAAAAAATTACCTTCCAGGTTTAGACTTATCTGCAGGCCAGGCTTCCAGTAGTTTCATATAATTTTTATAAGTGCCGGCCATAATACTTCATCAAAATTAAATATTTAAATACTTTACATTAAACTACAGGTTATATAGGAGTTAAATTTACTTTGGAGTAATGATTATATATATATTAAAAATATACCATGTGGGTATATGGAAACTATGAGGCGCTGATCTTTTGAATCCTATACGAATAAAGTGACACACTACGCTTACAATTACAAGTAAGCACAAAATTTACCGGTCATGGTTTTAATGCTTTTTGCCAAATTATAATGAGATTTGCTGGAGCTGATGATAAAATATTTTTCAATTAATCTATCCATATAAAAAACCATCAATAAAAATTTTCATTACAAGTTTGTTGATTCATAATTGTTTACTCCGTAATTGTTGCTTCCAAATTTCTGTCAATTTCTAACTTTTTAACTGTTGGTATAGAAAATAAAACGAGAGATACTTTTAGTTCAAGTTATGAACAATGAGCGCGCATGTATACGAATAAATCCCAAGAAAAAAACATGCCGGCTTGACTGTCTTTATTCATATTAATCGTAAACAAATTACAACAACAACGACAGTAAACGTTACAATTTGTATTTAATTATTTATACGTTATAAATAATTAAAGAGTTTTATATTTCAAAGCCATTATAAATAATATTAACAAGATAAATAATCATGGTAAGTAATTTTAACTAAAATATTAATTTTCATTATTTAAAAACAAGGTTAGAAATTTTTTCAGAAAAGTATTTTTCATTTTTTTTCCCGAAATTAAAAATGAAAAAAATAAATATTTAAGCTAAATTTTAATTATCGATTTTTCTTATTGTTACACTAATTACTTAGTGGTGTAATGAAATTTTATGTCACAAATGAAGAACTTGACGATCCTTATGTGCATTGTTTTATTTATATTTATTTGTTTATTTTTTTTTTTTTTTTTTTAAGTATAGAGGTTCATTAAAAAAAAAGTGAGCTACTAGCTTGATATTAATTAGATTTAAACTCATCAGAAAAATATTTTGAGCTAGTAAAGGTTGCTCTGCCTCATTGGCACTTGCTAATTTTCCTTTGTGATAAATTGATTAATGAATGATTTTTAAACATTTTTTCATTTTTAGGCTCGTAATGCTGAAAAGGCTATGACAACATTAGCTCGTTGGAGAGCAGCACAAAATACAGATGGATTTAAAAAGGAACCAGAGCGAAGACCTTACTTAGCATCTGAATGTCGGGATTTAAGGAAGGCAGAAAAATGGAGATTACAAATAATTCGAGAAGTTGCCAAAAAAGTTGCACAAATTCAAAATGCTGGTCTTGGTGAATTTCGAATTCGTGATCTTAATGATGAAATAAACAAATTGTTAAGAGAAAAAAAACATTGGGAAGCGCAAATCAAAGAACTTGGAGGTCCAGATTATTCCAGAGTTGGACCACGCATGCTAGATCATGAAGGACGTGAAGTAATTATTTATTTATTTTTTCTTTAATTCGTATGTACTCTAAACAGTAATTAATAAAAATTAAAATCACTCAGGTACCGGGAAATCGTGGATACAAATATTTTGGAGCAGCCAAAGAGTTACCAGGAGTACGAGAATTATTTGAACAAGAACCACCAGCACCCCCTAAAAAAACACGAGCTGAATTGATGAAGGACATTGACGCTGACTACTATGGATACAGAGACGATGATGATGGAATTCTTGACCCATTAGAGCGCCAAACTGAATCCGGTAAGCGTGATGTTAAGATCAGTAGTTGGGTTTATCATGAAAGTAAAGATGATGAAGAAAATGAAATAGAAATAACCGCGCAACGCTCAATACCTAGTCAAGAAGAAATTAAAGAAGCAATAATAAACAAGAAAAAACAAGAACTGCTAGAAAAATATGTTTTATAAGTATGATTTTCTATTCAATAAAATAAAATGTATACTAAATTATCGTCATTCATTAATTGCGATAAAATAATCAATGCAAAATTTATTTTGATGAATGTTGTTTATCTAACATTCAAGTTTTAGTTTATTCTGACTTTCGATTGAATGTAGGTGTTTTCCAACTTTTTTGTTCTTCAACTTCGATTTCCTGCCATTTTTTATAAGAAAAAAAGCTCTGGAATAGGTCGTCCTCTGCCATGTATTTTTTAATCCTGATTCTAGAAATTTTTGATTAATTAGTCAAGTCAAAGTTATTGAGACTACACTGTAATGAGTTTCTACACATACTATAACTTACCATTATTAATTACGCTACGGTGCATGTCACCAAACGTTTCCATAATTCAAAAGACAAATTGATAAAAAATACTCAACATGATTTTTAATGCTAATTTATGCGATTAACTATCGTAGATTTATTCATTTTTGCAATACCGAAATACATTTTTTTTGTTTACAAAATGCGACAAATGTAATATTAATTAGTTAATAATAACATTGATTACGGTAGTTTTTTGTTTGTTTTATTTTGTGCAGTAGACAAATTTCAATGAAATAACATTGAAAGAGTGCTTTAGAAAAAACGTGGACAAAAATCCAACATTGTTCCATTAACATACTTAACCAACAACAATCGATATGGTTGGCTCTTCAAACTTTTATAATTTTTTTTTTCGTTATCATCGTACCTATTTAACAACAACAGATTGACAAAAAAATTCTACCTGACAGTAGAGAAATAATTAATTATAATGGAATTAATATTTTGAAGTGTGGGTTTAAAAAAATTTGCGATTAAATTAGTTAGAAATAGATCACCTTTACACTTATAATTAAAATACGAGGATCTAATTGAGATCCTAATATTCGAAATTGTTCTTAGCAATATTACCTTCAGATAAATTACGTTATTTAATCACATTTATTTTTAGTAAAAATGTAGACAATTCATTTCTTGTTGACTAATATTACTAATTTGCGAGGGCATTTTTAATTATTTCATCAATTGAATGGTTTATTTCGATTTTTAGTAATCAGGCAATGTTTCTGAACGTTTTTATCAATGTTATTTACTAAATATCGAAAGAAATAAAACAACAATATGATACTTAATTTATGCTAAATTTTGGTAAATTATAAATATATAATTTTTAATATTTATGAATTTATAATTACTGAAATTTTCACAGCATTCGTTTCTTGTTTCTGGCAATACATTGCCGTGATATCATACTATTTTCCAATAAATTTAATATTATCATTATTATTATTATTATTAGTTTTATTAAAATTATCATTTTAATCAATATTATTATCATTATCATTATAATTAAGATTATTATTACAATTCGAATTATTATATAAATTATTATTATTATTTTCTTATTAATTTACTTATTTTTCTGCTCTGAATATGTCATTAATTAATCATTTCTCAAGATTAAATGTTTCATATAACTGTAGCCAAATAGTATCACAATCTGCATTTATGAGGTGCAAGATGTGAATTGTGCGTCGTTGAGTGTTATGTACTAAATCGCAACGTACTGCAATTAGCACGTTTCAAAATATGTTTATTATTATTATTATTTATTTATTTTTTTTTTTTTTTTTTTTTTTTTCGAATTTTACTTCTTCTCGAAGCAGAAATTCAGATTAATAAATATTATTAAATTAATACTGAAACAACTGTACTTTTTTATTTCTCAATGTTTGAATGTTGTGATATTGTGCTGAATTAAAATCACAATGAACAAGCATTTATCAGAGGATTAAAGGCACAAAAAGTAAAATTGAAAAAGTGAAAATTGTTATTGGCATCAGGCACAAATGGATAGAAAATGAGAAAAAAAGATAGTAGTATTTGTGCTATTATGAATTAAATTCAATTTGGCGAGTGAATTTATCTTTTTACAATTCATAATATTATTCACATGATAAAAAGTTTATTTGTTGCCTTTGCCGACTTTTCAAAAACAAATAATTATGTCATTTTATGACAAATTGTTAAAACTCTAATGCTGCCCACAGCCAAAATATTTTATTGACACAAAAAGTCACGATATAATCTTCATTAAAAAGTTCACGACAATTTAAATTTATTAACTCCAAGACTTTTTTGGGCAGTAAAAAATTCTTCATAAAGATATTTTATCGCAAACAATATTTTAGTTTCTAAAACTCACCGTTTTAGAACTTCATCATCATTTTCTTCGCCGTAATATCGACGAATTCGTAACAATCAGACGAATAATCAATCGTCACACCTGGAATGACTATTTCCAGTTAAATAAATTTATCCATAAATTACCAAATTTTAAAGAAATTTATGGACGTAAAAGTGAGTGCCAACGTTGCACTTGAGTTGGTTGCCTTGCAATCCGCATTTCATTCCAATGCTGTAACTCTTCAGGCCCAGAACTGTTTAATCCAAGACAAAGCCAACCAATCATTTCACGGCCTTTTTTACCCATCGCTGAACGACGGCGATTATATACTGATACAAAAAGTGTAACATCCCCTAGCTGAAACAAAGCAACCTGAAATATAAAAGTTTCCTTGTAAAGTGGATTTGGTTGTGCTCGTCTCAGTCCAGTTTTACATCGACCCATTTCATGACTATTACTGTCAACTAATGTTAATTTAACATATGTATCTGGTGGTTTTGTATCATTACCACCACCACCACGAAAATGTGAGCCCTTTATTATTTCTACCGAAAGACGACCGGTAGTACCATTGTAAGCAAGACCGATAAGTATTTCAGCTATGCTTCCACCCTTCATACTACTACCGTAAGGAGGTATTGTTGGAGATGCATACGACTGTACAGACTGTTGAGATCCGGTTGAGTCACTTCGAGTTAAACTCGTAGTCGTACCCCACTCTTGGACCTATTAATTTCAATAATTTTTATCGTTAAACAAACAGTTTACTTGAATGATATAATGATAATGGTAACAGTAATAATTATTAATATTAAATTACCGGCGAAGAGGGTGGAGGCTGTAGAGGCAGACAAAGTGTGGTTTCTAATTGAAGATTGATTTGATCAAAACAAACTCTAGCTTCACCTAATAGTCGTTCTCGACGCATTCTACCACCCCAGAGATAAACTCTCAGCCTTACGCCCATTGCATTAACATCTTCAGGATTAACTCGAGGTAATAAAAAGCTTTCCATATACTGTGGTGATGTACCTTGACGAACTCGTGTTTTACGTCTCTGCTTCTTTGACGGAAGCAAAACAAGACGAACTTGACTTCCTCCGATACCTGCTGGATAGTTTCGTCCTTGAAGAACTTGAACCTGAAGAAATTAATTTAATTTGACTCAATTAATTAACATCCATTATATTTTTCTAGGAACATATATATTTACGATAAACAGCTAACTAACCGTCATTTCTCGCATTGGTGCGTCATACAAAAATGCCACTTCTAAGCTTCCTATTTCTTCAATTAATCCACCAAGTGTTGGTGCTATTTCGCTCGATGGACTACAAAGTTCTTCAATAACTTTATCAGATTCTGGTGTTTCCATTAAAATATTTGAAGATCCGACTTCAACCACACACTTAAATTAAATAAATAAAATAGTTAATTACCGTTAATCAATTGCTATATTCATTTTTAATCATACCTCTTGTTGATCTGGAGGATGTTCTTCATTACAATTATTGGAAGTATTACCAGCATCTATGAAAGAAAATTTTTTTAAATATGTTTCAGTTTAGATAAAATATATCTTAATATTTGTGCATTACTTACCAACAAAAGTTGGTCCATCTTCAGTCTGAATCGTGAGAATATTCGGAAGATGTGTTGAATGAGAGTTTTGTAATCGGCGGAATGCGTCTTCTTCTGAATCAGAACTTGTTTCTGGATCCGAAAATGTAAAGATTTTGTCTAAAAAAAAAAAAAAGCATTTTTTAATTGATTTATCAGAATGTATTTGTGTTTGTGATAAAATAGTATTTATTAAATAGTTGATACGATACCTAAATTTTTGGTAATCGGAGGTGTTGTAAAATCCGAACAATGAGTTGTATCATTTAATGGTACACAGATTCCACCAAAAACCGTCTGCGAAACGGGTGTAAAAGTCCATTTTCGTGTTAAATATAAAAAGAGTACCAAGAGAAGAGTAACGAAACCGGCTACTGCTCCAAGAAAAGCAGTCACTCCCACCGAACCTATGATTTATTCAATTTTTATAGTTAATAATATTCATAATTGAATGATTAATTTAAAAACAGAAAAAAAAAAAAAAAAAAAAAAAAATTAGCGAAATTGATTTTCTTTTATTGTTATTCATGTCATAAACATAATTTGTAGAGCTCAATGAATTAAAACGAGGTCATTGAAGGGAGTGGATGTATGAATAAATAACAATCTATATATGTATTGCGTAACATGTATGTGCATTCGCGAATCTTCCAAGTGTTTATGTATGAGCGCAGCATAAAATATTAAATATATATATATACATACATAATAACTTTAAAAAAAATATGGAGCGATATCAAATAGTTCTGGACGGCGAATATATAAAAAAATTATCCATGTCAATGAGTAATTATTGAATGTTTACATAATTAATAATTGTTTGATATATGTTATAAGACCTTGAAAATATAATGGAAAGTTTTACGTCGATGGACAGTAGGGTGTATGAAATAATTGACGACTAAAGTGGACTTACCCGATAAGAAATGGTCTGATCCGGTGAGAATCATTATTGTTGGGTATCTTTATTTTCACTAAATTACTTCACGGCTGGAAAGTAGCCATTATCGGATAACGAACACATTATCCGACACTAACAGACATCAGTTGTCAGGTTTGTTTGATTACAAACGTGGTTATACGCCAAATAATACGTGGGCGGGGGTATAAAGCACTCTGTTGCTCACCTGGACGTGTTCACAAGGGTTTAAATCTGTAATACGCTTGCGTGTCACCCCCTTTTAAAGGATAATGTGCGCAAGTTTTTACCCGTAATTTTATTATAACCCGCTGAATTTAACAGAGAAATTTAAGGAAATAAAGTACAACTTTATTAAATCAGCATTTTTTTTATAGTATTGAAATTAGCAGACATCTGTAAATTGATTTCAGATGATGAGAGATTTTTATAAAGAACAAAGTTAATAAAACTTGCACTGATGTTTTCTTCAATTTTTTACACGTGCAAATTTTCAATTTATTTTTAAAAAACTTTTTTGTTAAAAAATTAAACCAAAAAAAGTATCAGATTAATCTAATGTACGTAATCATCATAAATTTTTAACACTTCAAAAATATTTATCAATGTATTGCACGACTCATGATGCGAAGCATATATCAGAGTGTGCTGTACGATCGAAAAAATTTATTCTTTTTGCTACTGACCTTTGGATTTTCTAAATTATAGTCTTCTTATAACCAAGTATATTATTGTAACAATTTTTCAAATTAATCAAACATATGATCAAATTAACTAAATTTTAATGATTACACATATCAATGAATATTTTAGATTTAGATTTATTCATTTATACCAAGGCCTAATTGGTCAAATGGCAAATTTATACATATATATGTTAACAATACATAAAATACAATATTAACTAAAAAGATAATGAAAATAATGTACAAATTAAGTAAAAACTCATAAACAGAATATATAAATAAGTATTAGAATTATAATACACGATTTAACTTATTCATCAAGTAATATAATACATGATTTAACCAATTTATTACTAAATAAAAGTTTACATGAAAAGTTTGTAAAAAGAAAAAACTATTAAATTTCTAGTTTAAATAAATAGTCATAGATTTTATTTTTGAAAATATCTAAGCTTGAGGAATCAACAATATCAGATGGTAACTCCTCCCATAAACATATCATAGGAACACATGAATATCATAGGAAGAAAACAATAAGTCGTGAAAATATCTTTGAATAGAGAGTTTAATCATATAACACAGCAACAATGCATTAACACTACATCAATCATTTTTAAGGGGCACAACTAGTGTAAAATTAAAAAAAAAAAACCGATTTTTTTCTTATTTCATATTTTGATAGATAATACCTTTAAAAATAACATACTCAAATTTTAAATCGATATCTCAAATAGTTTTTAAGTTACAGCCATTTAAAAAGTAACCGCTCGGCAGGATCCGGAATAGGATCATTTTATCTTTAATAAACGCGTTTTTCTCGAAACAGCATTTTTCAAATTTGCCGCAGTGATTACTCAAAGATAAATGATTCTATCACTACCAAATTTTTTCTGCATGTTCTGTATATAGTTCTCCATACAATGATCCTCCAGTTTTTGGATCTGATCAAAAATCGAATTTTGGCAGGCCAAAAACGACCAAAATTTTGGGTAATATTCAACTTTTTTTTTTAAAAACGCCGCCATTTTGTCAATTTTTGATATTTTTTTTCGACCGAGAATCATTATACGAATAATATCTTCTAGTTGAACGAGAATTTTTTTTTTTTTATGTTTCATTGATGGAGAAGACCAGAGTCACTGCAGCACTGGAGGACCTTTTTTTTTAGCGCTGTCGGAAATCGCGTGTAACTCGGAAAATACTCAATTTTTTTCTTCAAAAATTTTATTGTATATTCTTAAAATATGTATTAATATACCCTTAAAATTTTAAAACAATTCATACAGGAGTTTTTTTTTATTTTAATTCTCAAAAATCGCCTTTTTTTTAGGCTGTCACACTAATAGTTGTGCCCCTTAATGTTTGAGCATAAAAAAGACTCGATTTGTTAAAACCTCAAGTTTTAAAAAAAAAAATGTTAAATTTTTGGAAGATTTTATTCAACAAGAAGTCAAAAATTAACAATTATAAACTTAAAAATTCAACAAAACATTACGAAAAAAATTTTTGCGCCGCTTGAGACAAATATATTTTTTTGAAAATTCTTTTTTTTTTTTATTTAAATTTATAACACAGAATAACTTATTTTATTTAGAAAAAAAAAAAAAAGCCGAAAATTGTTTTATAAAAATTCTTAATAAAAAATGTATAGTCAATGATTAACAGTTAAATTTGTATTATATAAATTAAATAACATTTATAAAATTAATTATTTAAAAATAAAGTTTTTATCAGATGCAATATTTGAAAAATCCATGTATACAAGTATATACAATTATATATGTATAAATAAAATTTCTGTGTACATTCAGTGGAGTCTCTATAACTTCAACTCTAGGTGTTTTAAATTTTTGGAACGATAATTAGAGAACACATGGCAGTAGACGAGCCCCTCCTCTACTACATGTTAATGAAAATTGATAAGGAATTAACGTTAGCGAACGGAGAAATGTAGAGACTCTACAATATCTATATATGTATACAAAACTATACATGTGCATAAAAATAATAAGATTCAATGGCGTACAAAAATAACCACCGCATTGAGAACATACATTTTATTTATAAGATTAACTTAACATTTTTAATGATAAAAAATATGAGTGATTAAAATATTTTCTTTTTTTTTTTTAAATATTTCATATTTCTATTAATTAAAATTGTTCATATGGGTTGCTAACAATTAAATCCTAATAAATTGTAGATGTAAAAATTATAACCTTACTCAAAAAAGAAAACATTTGACTGCTGATAATATAACATATAAAAATAGTGATAACAATGTAAGTATATTCAATAATTATATTTTTAAACATAATAATATTATTAAGTTGAAAATTAATTAGATATTTTTATTTTGCTTCTTTATATTAATAAAAATATTTATTTCCAACAGGAGAAATATCAACATGACTTACATGATGATGTTGCGGTTAAGACCTTACAGAATTATAAAACTGTACAACTGGAATAAATGTTTATATAATTTAAATAATAGACTTTACTGTAATGCCGATAAAAAATTCAATGATTATAAACTGGCAAAATTGAATCGACAGGCAAAAAGAAATGCTTTTAGAGCGCGACTAGCCCAAAATATACGAGCAACAAAAGCAAAAATGGAAGAAATAATTGAAAGAGAAAATATTTGGACAATACCGAATTTCCTTTGTATTGGCAGAATAATGACAACACCATATATAAGTTATTTAATAGTCTACTCACATAATTATCATGTTCGATATATTTTTATTTATTCCTATACTATAGTATTTTTTATAGCATATAATATAAAATATAAAATAATTTTTTTAGGTCGCACTGTGGCTTTTAGGGTTTGCCGGGTTCACTGATTTAGTTGATGGCTGGGTGGCTAGGACTTGGAGTTCCCAAGCGTCCAAGCTGGGTAGCTTTTTGGACCCTATGGCTGATAAATTACTAGTTGGAACACTATTTTTATCATTAACATGGGTTGAATTAATTCCTTTACCTTTGACGTGTCTCGTGGTGATGCGTGATGTTTTGCTGATTGGCGCTGCATCGTATATTCGATATAGATCATTGCCAGCACCAGTAAGAATTTTTTTTCGTAAATACTTTGGTGGTAATTTTAATTTTTATTACTTAATAGAATATAATAAAACTGTCTTAATTTTTTTTTTGCAGAAAACTTTAGGGAGGTACTTCGACCCTAGTCATGCAACAGTTCAACTAGCCCCTACATTTATAAGCAAATTAAATACTGCTGTTCAATTATCACTTGTTGGTGGTACTTTAGCAGCACCAGTGTTTCATTTTATAGACCATCCTATTTTACAAGGATTATGTTATCTTACAGCAATAACGACAGTAGCTGGTGGTATTAGTTATTTAATGTCTAAAAATACGTATAAATTATTATCGAAAAAACCATTGAATAATGGATCATCGTCTTCGTAATAATTATTTAAGTTGTTATTGTTGTTGTATATTTTTGATAAAAAAAAAAATAAAATAAATATTTGATTTAATTATTTATTATAAATAACTCTTATCTCTATTCTATTATAAAATTATTTATGTATAATACGGATTAGGTGGTTTATATAATTCATATGCAAATTGTTCGTCGAAAACTACGTCTTGTTCAATACCAATATAATCAATTTCTAGTCTAAATGGACCAGGAACTTGATCAGAAAGTGTGATGCTAAAGGAACTCATATTATGTACAGGTGCTGGACCTTGAATATCTTGAACTCTACCTTTACTTGACAATAAAAATTTTGAAAATGGTATCTTTACATACTGCCAGTACGGACCACCTCTCGTATATAATGCAAAATTAAATAGATCATTCCACATAATATCAAAAGTAGTTTTGGGGTGAAGATTGAGCGTATAAGTGCGCCCATCACCACGGATCCTCATAACAAGATGAGTAAATCCAGACCATGGTAATGTATCTTGTACATGAAACGCTTTTTTTATTATTCGTGTTCTCATGTTACAATAACCACCAACTTTTTGTTTACCATCTCTGACAGGCCTTGTGTCCATTACACCGGAAAATAATCCCGTGCCATTTGGAGTTAGTTCTAATCTAAAAAAATAAATTGTTCTCATTAAAAAATTAAATATTTTCTTCCGCCCCATTGATTCAATTGTCATACTTTGTATAAAAATATAGTAAATAATAATAAAAATTTTAATACATACGAAGCAGTTGAATATCCTAAATTATAATCTTTATCTGATGTCACAGTCCACTTATAAATTTCATCTTGATCTCCATTAAATCTCCATTGAATATCAACTTCACCTGGTCGTTGACACAAAGGTGGATCCATGCGGAAATTTTCCTTTGTTTCTTCTTTTAATAATTTTAATTCATGAATAAAATCAGTACATGCTTTTTTTACTTTTCCTACAGTTGTTGTTGGTTCTTCCTCTCTCTTTGGATCATATAAAAAAGGAAATCCTCCCTTTCTATTAGTCTCGTAAAAATTATTCACTTTACAAGTTGTATGAAATTTTTTACAGTTTAATTTTTTAATCACATTCAACAACCTTATTAAATTAGTTGTCATTTTGATTTTTTAATTTTAAAATTCATTCATGACAAGTTATAAAAGTCATATATACTTTTAAAGGTTATTATGCCAAAAGGTATTAACACTTTCAGGTATTTTTTTTTTTTCAAACTGTAAAATGTTGAATAAGTAAATAACTTAATTATCGATTATTGATAAAAAAAAAAAAAAAAATAGAATTCTTGGCGATTTTCCGTCATCCGCTGTATTTTTATCAAAGGTACTATGTAAAAAAGTATCTGTGTGTATGTAATATTAAATACACATATGTATGTATTTACACACGAGTTGATATTATGTTAAGAACCTATAAGTCACGAACACGTGGCGATTAACTAAAAAAACATTTTTAATATTTTCATTTTTCATGCTTACCGTTCATTCGCATCAGTATGATTTGTTATGGTTTTAAATCAGTGTTAACAGATTGAAGAATTATAAAATTTACAAGTGCTATTATATAATTTTTAATAATATAAAGTAAAGAACAGATATACAATTAAATAAATAACGTTTAAAATTAATGTTATTTTTATTTATTTACTCAAGTCGGTTATTGTATTTGTGTATCAATAAAAAAATAACAATAAATCATGACGCAATACTTAAAATTTTTCATAATTAATTTATTATTTATTTATTCAATTGATTATTTATCCGTAAGTGGGATGAAAAATGAAAGTAAGTTTATAGCAACAAATGAATGGCAGACTGTAAAAAAAGGTAAATTTTTTCTATTGACAGTACTTATAATTTTATAACAGTTTTAAAAATATTAAAAAATTTATATTTATTTTGTTAGGCCAGCCAATACCTAGTGGGCTTCATATTAGATATAATTTTGAAACAAAAGTAACAGAAGCTAAATTAATGGATAAAGATGATAATGACAATAAATCACCCAGTTCATTGACGATTCACCCAGAAGCATTAGTAAATGATGAAGATGATATTTTAGTTCATAATAATGAACAGCACAGTAAACTAAAATTATCTCTAGAAGAATTAAAAACACGCCTAAAAAAAATAAAAACAGATGCTAACAATAATATGAATCAGGTAGTGGCTGCATTATGATTATGAAAAATAATTTTATTTATTATTTACATGCAAGTTTATAAACATTAATATTTTACTTTTAGGCCGAAGATAATACCGAGAAAAAATATCGAAGCTACGAAGAGTTAAAGGATGAATTGAAATCTATTGATATGAATATTACAACTGACTCAGAAATAATGATTGATCTTTTTCAACGATTTAAAATATATGACCATTCATTAACTAGTGGATCTCTTCAAAGTACTGAGATTGAAGATATTTTGCAGATATTTAATGATTTAGAATATTTACTTCATCAAATAGACATTGCACAATTATTTGCTGATATGGAAGGGTATGTATTATTTTTTTCGTTTTTATTTAAAATTTTACATTATTATAATAAATCATATAAATTCTATAGGATGTCAAAAATAATTTCACCATGCTTGAATACAACAAATGACGATTTAAAGATAGAAGCATTAAGAGTACTTGGAACTGCTGTACAATTAAATCCAAAAGTTCAACAAAAAGCTTTAAATAATGATTTAGTACAAAAGCTTTTACATTTATTATCAGTTAATAACAAACCTTTAGTACGATCAAGATGTTTATTTGCGTTAGGAGCATTAATAAGACAATTTCCGTCAGCACAAAAGGCATTTATTGACCACGGAGGACTGGAAATATTTGGAAAAATTTTAAAAAACGATTTTTTACAAACTCAATTCAGAGCAATTAAGCTGATCACTGATTTAGCAATAGAAAGAGAGCTTATAAATAAGACTGAAGATGAAGGACTTCGGTTGAGAAAAGTTCAAGAGTATAAAAAAACTAACTTCGAGCAAAAACTGATATTACATAATTATTGTAAATATTTATCGAGTATTGTACAAAATAATTTTATACAAGATGATATTTCTCTTGATTCTTCGATGGAAATGAATGAGTTTCTTCAGGTAGTACTCGAAAATATGATTGTGTTATGTCCTGTTTGTAAAGATGAATTTCGTAATCATGAGCATAGACTTTCCACAACATTTAGTGAAATAATTAATTACTATAATAAAATAAAAAACTCTAAAATTTGGCAGGAAAATGAAATGCTTGAGAATAATTTAGAGCAACTATCGAATTTACAAAAACTAATTTTTGAAGATTTTCATGATGAACTGTAATTTGCTAAAAAAATATCATCTAATGTAAATATGATTTTAAAAAATTCTTATTTAGTTGAAACACTACGTCGTTATAAAACTCTAATTGTACATAAAAGTAAAAAGGATTAGAAATTATTTTTCAATTTGTGATTATAATACATTTTATTTACAAATCAATTTTACAAATGTATATTTGACTGTAAGCATTGAATTATAATTTATTTATAAATTATCACTTATTTTTACAACTTAATTAGTAACTACTTATATTTAAGAAAAAAAAATTTAATCCTTATTTTTTTAGATTGTGAAAAAGTATACTTAAACAAATCATTTTTTTTTTTTTATTTGAGACAGTATCAACAGTTCATATTAGCCCAATAATACTATAGATAAACCTGTTATCTTATTTAGTTGGACTACAAAAAAAAAAGATCAAAAACAGTGATTAATGCTAAATTTTCTTTGTCCAAAAATATAATCATTTATTAGTATTTCTTTTTTTAATATTCAATTGATTTGTAGAGTGCTAATTTCCTCCAGTACAATGTATCACTGGTTTTAGTGATAAGTTCATTAATATAAACTATGCAAGTAATTAACAATATATTGTAATTAATTGAGAAATTATTATCTCGAAAAATAAACAACAAATATTTTTTACTATCAAATATTTCATTTTATATACTAAATTATTTTCAAAAAATTTTACATTGATCTTAATTCGTTGCGTAGAAAAAAAATTTTTTTTAAATGTAAGAATTTTAATCTCAATGGAATAATTTCATTTCTTCTATATTTATATATAAGTAAAGAGATGTAAAAAAATGATACAAAATTATGCAACGAAAATCAGTATTTCTAGATATAACTTTGAATAATATAATTTAATTTAAATAATAATTTCAAAATCTAAGAAAATAAACTCATGAGTAAGGCTTCTATAAAAAAAATTAGGAATACGGTTGACTCTGAAGACCATCCCTGCAACTTCCCGCCAATTCTATACCTAACGCTTGAAATTGTACTTATGACGTTTTAGAGCTTTTCGAGCTCATAAATACAATTTATCTATTATTTTGAGCTCTCCGAGCTCAAAAAAATAGCTTTTGTATGCTTTCGAACTTAAAAGTTTGATAGAAGTTTGATAAAACACTATTTTTAACTTCCCGCTAAAAATCTCAGATTTTCAAAAATCGGGAAGTTATTGTTTTCACCCCGTTTTACAAAAATCGAGTTTTCATCAGATCTCGACGTTTGAAGGTCACAGGAAGCTTCCCTGACTATTTTTACGATGATGTCCGTACGTCTGTGTGTGTGGGTGTGTGTGTAAACCTCTTGTAACTTTCGAACGATTCGGACCGGTAGATTTCGAGAAAATAAAAAAAAAGTTGTTTTTTTTTTTATTTTTTTTAAATATCTCCGAATTGGCTGAACCGATCGGTCTCAAAAACTAATCAGCTCTTAACCTTGAAAACCTTCATCGATCACCACCAAAAACGTTAGAATCGGTTGATGCGTTCGTGAGATATCGTTGTCGAAAAAAATCGAAAAAAGTGTTTTTTTGTAATAACTTCGAAATTCATGGCTCGATCGATTTAAACTTGAAAATTTTTCATGGAGCTTCAAAAACTGCGTCGATTGCCGCCAACCGCGTGAAAATCGGTTTATTCATTCAAAAGTTATTGCCGTTTGAAAATTAAAAAAATTGTGTCTTTAAACTGCTATTAGAGTTTTGAGCTTGAACAGCTCAAATTGACACAAAAATAATATTTTTGAGTTCGAAGAGCTCAAAAACGTAATGTTTAGTTTGAAACGTTTAAATACAAAATGAGCGGGAAGTTGCAGGGATGGCCTTTAGGGTGAACCGTTTTTCTAATTTTTTTTATTTTCAAATCGTAATAACTTTTGAATGAATGAACCGATTTTCACGCTGTTGGCGGCATTCTACGCAGTTTTTTAAGCCTCATAAAGAATTCTTAAGTTTCAATCGGTTAAACTAGAAATTTCAGAGTAATTTCGAAAAAACACTTTTTTCGGTTTTTTTTCGTTCACGATATCTCTTGAACGAATCAACCGATTTTGACCGGATTGACGGCAATCGACGTGGTTTTTTAAGGTTGAGAGCTGAATAGTATTTGGAAGTGATCGGTAAAGCCATTTAAAAGTTATTCCAAAAAAACGATTTTTTGAAAATTTTGTTTTTGAGATTTCTAAAAATCTAGCGAACCGAATCGATTCAAATTTTCACGAAATTTAATAGCTATGATACTCTTTGGATCGCCACCGATTTCGATCCGATCGGCCAAGCCGTTCAAAAGTTATAAGAGGTTTACATACATACATACATACACACACACACATACATACATACAGCCGCACGGACACCATCGCGGGAATAGTCAGGGAAGCTTCCTAGGACCTTAAAACGTCGAGATCTGATGAAAACTCGATTTTTGCAAAACGGGGTGAAAACAATAACTTCCCGATTTTTGAAAATCTGAAATTTTTAGCGGGAAGTTAAAAATAGACCATTTTATACTCTCTTTTTTAGCTGACCATCAGTGGTAATTTTAAATATATCTGAGATGATATTAGCTTATGTAATCAAATTTTGATTACTTTTAATTCACTTAACTTTTTTTTTTCAATCACAAATTATCGTCAATATTGCCATTATACTAATACCACTAAGTAAAGCGCCTAATTGTTTACAAGATTCTATTGGATTAGATTCTTTGAGCAATTCTGGTAAAATAGTAACTAATCCAATATGTAAAAAGCCTCCTGCAGTAAACGGCAAAATCCAACTGGTTCGGGATTCTATAATATAAAAGAAATTTACAGAATTAACATAAATTATGAATGATGTATATTTTTAATTTTTTATAATAATCAAATTAATTTTATTCATAAGTATAAAGCTAATTAATTAAAAAAAAAAACTATTTTTTCATAAATTTTAATTAAATAAATAAATTCAATTAGCAGGAAAACTTTTTTTTTTATTTACGCATAGTAAAAAATTTGATAATTACTTAAATTGATCCAATGAAAATTTATTGTGATATTAGTTTCAATATTATTAGTGAAAAACGTTAATGAATCAAATTAATTGGAACACTATTATATGACTATACTATTAGTATTATACACCGCTCTATACAGTATTGAAAAAGTTTCTTTATCCATAAAAACTAAATTAATTTGATAATATATTTTAAACTATAAATTTATCAAGTTATCTCACCAACTCCACTGCCAGAACACAACACCGCAATAAGTGCTCCGAAAATTCCTCCAGTAGCAGTTATAAGTTGTGCTCGTGCAGCATCCCATTTATTAAATCCACTTTTAAGAAGAATAGCAAAGTCGCCAACTTCATGAGGTATTTCATGAATTAATATTGCAAATGTTGTAAGTGCACCAAGTCTAAAAGAAACTAAAAAAGACCCACCAACAGCGAGTCCGTGAGTAAAGTTATCAATGCAGTTGGCTAAAAGATTTAAATAACCACTGATATGTTTAGATTTTTCTTTCACCGTTAATTTATCTGGAATTTTCCCATTTAACGTCAAATTATTTGATACATTGTCTGCTGATACTGCTGTTTTAATGATATTATTTTTGACAATTTTATTCAATAATTTATTTGACTTAACTGAATCAATCAATTTTTTTCTCTGCATATCACTTTTATCATGTAGCTCACTATAAACATTCGGTTTTATGCCATTTGTTTTTAAATTCACAGAAATTAAGCTGTCATAATCATTCTTTTCAGAAAAAGTTGAGTCTACATTTGTCAATAAAGTCTTGTTTACTTCTATCTTCCCATTAACAGCTAAACAATTATTATTGTCGGTTCCACAGTTATTGTAAACTCCATCACATTCTTGGTTCTTTGCCTTCACCCAATCAATATCTTGATCCTCATCTATTTCTTGTTCATCGGCTCCTAAGAATAATTTTTCAGCAATAATAAACACTAAAAAACCGGTAAGAACCCACAGCCCACAAACCATTGATGGATGTCCATTAGTTGAATCTGTAAATAGTAACCGCAGTTAGCTTACAGCAAAATTAAAATTATATAATGTACCGCAAACTAAATTTTTTAATGTATTTTATTAGTTTTATAAGCAAGTGATGATCTATTGATACGAGATAACCCACAAATAAAAAAAAAGCCGCTATTAAGATGTCCTTGAAACAATTTTAAATCTGATAAATCTATTTATATGTAATTGACTTTATAACATTTTATTAACTAATAATAAATAATTGACCCGGGAAAGAAGAAATTCCAAGAATTTAATAGTTCAAAGTCTTACTGCTACTCAAATTTATTATTTTATACAGCAATCTAAATATGATTCTTAAAAAATTATCGGCTTGACAGAATTAGAATCTTGAGATCATTTAAAGAGTTTGAAATTATATAGATAATAGAGTTTAATCTCCGTTAAATGGATAAGTATTCACAGCTATTTTAACAAAGAACTTTTTAATGGTGACATGTATATAGCCCGTAATCATTAACATTAGTCATTCTGAAAAATCGGGTGGAAAATTCCAGTAATTGTATTGTCAATTGTTGATTGTTCTTTCCCTCTGATAATCGAATAAAGAAATAAAAATATCATTATTTTTAATGCCTCGTACTTTTTCATGCCAAAATAAATTCCGTTTTTTAATTTATACATGAGTTTATAAAATAGATAATAAATCTTACTACTATTTAATGATTTGTTTTCCCAAGCCTCTGGAAGTAAATGTAGAAAGACATCTCCTAATAGACCACCAACAGCAAAACTCAATAGCATCTTTAAGGTTTTAGCACCAGCTGTAATAAAAAATCAATTATTTTTTTGAAACATCAACGTATATTATTAATATTGCTTTATGACTAAATAATTAGAATAATTAATCTGATGTAATTTATAATAAAACACGTGTATTGCATCACGCAGTTTGAAGTAAAAATATTAATGAAATATGATATTTATCAATCATTTACTGAACAGAAAGAAATTATTTGTTTTAACAGAATCTAGCATTTACATTGTAATCATACTCGCAATAAAAATACAATGCATTATACGATTGATTGTAGAATCAATTTATGCATACCAGTTGAAAAATTGTTTTAGTTTAATAAATTAAACACGCATTGAATACAATAGCTCTAGAATTAACATCAACAAATATCCATAAAGCGAATACATTCGAGTCCTTCTTTAATCAACACGTCCAGATATTGTGTTGTATAAAATAACAATATAAAAAAAAAAAGATAAATCTTTATTAAATTTGTTATCAAAGTAAGCATTGAATTTATCTAAGAGGAATAAATGTCAATAATACAGTAATTTAAAACTCATCTCTCTTCTACGCAACAAAGCGGAAAAGATAGTACTCATACACGAGTACATTAACTGTCATTCTGCCAACATATTTTTTTCTTTTTATAATATTATTAGTACAATTTATTTCCAAGACAAAGCATCCTACATTAAATGTATAGCGTATAATTCATACTCCGCTTTATTCTATAAACACTCTGATATTTTCATTGTATCATCAACAATAATTATATTGGATGACTGATAAATAATCAAACTCGAATTTTGTTTATATATATATATATATATATTTAATTACTTATTCAATGATGCTTATAGAAAACAAAAAGTTTGTCGAGATATAAAAATAAATAAATTGATAATAAGACACGTTTATCGCAATGTGACTTTTATATCAAGATTAAGTATTTTTTTTTATGTACTTATTCAACAATTTTTTCTTAATCTATATTTAGCATATCTTTTAATATAACGAACAAAAAATTTTGCCAAATTTTATTTTAAAGTCTAAATTTAATTGTTTTTTTATTTATTAATTATACAACACATGGATAGAAATTCATGTGTAATACATACGGATACAAAAGTGAATACTGACCTCGTACAAAGTACTTATACTTTTAACTTTTTTTTTTTTGTATCAACTAAATTCATTTAAATGAATTCAATAGTTTATATGCACAAAGAACATTAAGACATAATAATATTCTTAATATTTGAATACATAAACTTAAATTGACAAAAAAAAAATTAATTTTTTTTATTTCATACTAAAAAAAACAATTGTTATTGTTGTTGTATTTTGTTCTTTAAAATATAAAACAGACATATAAAAATAAATACGCACGTCCATGTTTAAGATCAGCTCCTTCATCAATAGGAATAATAAAGAGTGGGAAGACACCCGACAGGCCGACCATGGCACTTCCAAGGAGAGAAAATATCCAGGGCTGATATTCAAAATAATCAGTAACATTGTTCCAAGACTCCCAAATTTCATTAGTGACTATTTGATAGAGTGCATCCATACTGGTAGAATTGTCTTTACACTCAATCATTATTTTATTATTACAAAAATAATAATAAATTATATTAAATTTATGTATATAAATCTAGCAAATAATACTCTTTCGTTACTATTTATCTATGCTATATTACACCATCGTAATTGAAGCCTTGTTGTGAATTGGAGTAGATAAATTAAAAAATAATAAAACTATATAAGTTTTTTTGTTATTTGTACAGAACATACACTTTCTCCGTTTGTAGATATCACAGATCATATGAATGTGGAAAAAATTTTAATTACAAATTTATACACGTCCCTTGTATACAAAAATTGTCGTCCTTGACACTGGGCACTGTTTGCTTTGTTTGGATTTTCAATTTTATATTTTCTTATTTAATTATAACTATATAAATACAAAACAGTGCAATGTTTTGTCATTGATACAAATATTTTTTTCTACCAACTATTACTACAAGACAATTTTAGTTTAAATAAATGAGTTATTATGAAATAATTAATTTAAAATTTAATAAATCTTTTTAAGTGCTGATTGTTCGGCGACCACACTTATAGGCGACCGACTAGCCTACACTGAGGACTGAGTACGGTACGCAAAGTTAAAACATCGGTAGAGTGATTGATGCAAAGGCTCTTCTATTATTCCATTTTGTCTTTCATAAAACGATTGCGATGATTCAAGTCTGCTGACCGATTATTCAGTCAGATTCTTTTTGGTTCAGATAACTAACTGCCGTATAATAAATAGGCTCTGTATATCTCACAAGTGATACAATCGCCTGTATTTACTGAATGAGATTTCACTTATTACTTATGCTATGCACTCGGATGCACTGAAGAACACTGATGCATACTATTATCAACATTCCTGTTTTTATATCAACTAACTGCAGTCACGTCGTAGCTGCGCAAAAATAGTTGCGCAAAATACAGCTATGAGATAATAAAAATTATTTATTTGCTAAATTACTTTAGATTGCAAGAGGAAAACTATTTTATACTAAGAAATTATCTAAATAAAATAAAATTTTTCGTAGCAAAGAAGCCGACCAAAGTCAAAACCAAGATAAGAACAAGATTTTAAAAGGAAATTTAGTTATGATTATTTTACAAAGGAGAAAAAGAGAAATGGAAAATAATTGTCGATAGAGGCGCTAGTTTTACGTTGACATTTCAAACATTCTTAGGCAAATTTTTTTTTTTTTATTTCTTAAAAATAAATTCATTATATTCCGATTACAATCGATATATTTTAAATTATATTAAATGAAGATAACGTTGTAATTAATAATTTGTGATATTTCATATGAAAAATAATTAAATGATATCTATATATTTATCGATTGTTGAAGATAAATATTTTTGTACTGATAGCATGTTGATTATAATCGACTTTTAATTATTTTTTATTTATTATGTCGAAGAGTGGTTTATTGTTTGGATAGAACTTAAGAAATTTTATCGTCAGCTGGTAAAATTTGGATATTGCTATTTGATTATTGGCGCGACGAAATGACCTTACTTTCTTTTCACACAATTATGAGTATATATATGTATATATATATGATATAAATTGCAAGGCCGAAAATTTGAATAAGTTAATTTGATTATGATGATTTATTAAATTTTTACAGCGTTGGCAATCACTTGTAGCGTTAAAAAATCAATTTTATACCTTAATCTACATTATTCTCACAATGGAAATTGTTTTTTTTTTTAATTCCATTTTTAAAAAATATACCAAGCAATATTCCTCTTATTTTTCGATCCTTTCTTAAAAAGATAAAATAAGTTTTTAATAAATGTAAGTCGATGAGATTATTATTAGTTTTAAAACAATTCCCACCTACTATTGAAAAAAATACGCATCGTTTATAATACAAGCAGCTCTCCAGTGATTCTATTTCTGGATAGCTTGAAAACTGATTTCAGTGTATTTTTTACTTTAGTATCAGTAAGAATTCTTACAGGGTTTACATTGAGAAGAGATATTTTTTTTCATTCCGAACATATTACGGTGTAGTAAATGAAATTGTGGTTCTTTTAGTTACTTTTTAATGAAAAATTTTTTTATTATTTTCACCACAATTAAAAAAACATTCAAAACCAAAGATATGTTTTAATTTTCAGCTTCAAATATATATTATATTTTATTTAAGTTTGCATTTAAATAATAAAACGGGTCAACTATAATTTAGTTATCATGGATTTACGAAGAATGTCTAATTGGAACGTCTTAAATGTTGAAGCTGCGCTTCAACAATTGAATTATCAAGAGAAAGAAAATGATGGATTTGTAATAATTGTACCTCGCAGTACCACGGTAAGAATTACTAACGATCAATATGTTTATAAATTACAGTCAAGTCAATATTTCACAAATTACCAATAAAATCGGCTACAATATAATTTATATTTAAATAATTAAGTCTATGCTTAATTTGAAAAAAATTTTTTTTCAATCATTTAAAACATTTAATATTTCTCACCATTAAGAAATTTTTTAACAGAAGTAAAAATTGGAAGCGAACTTAAAGTTAGAAAACTTTTATATTAAAGTAATTTTTTTTTTTTTCACAAACTACGGTACTAATCAATGCTTCAGAAAATGTCGATGGAGACGTCCCATTCTGGATTCTTGCCAGAAACGTATTTATAACTAATTAGAAACAAGTCAGTTGCAAACATAGTTAGTTAACAATTGGTCAATCAACTCAAAGAATAAAGAAAATATTATTAATAAAATTTCATAAGATCATTTCCATTTTTATAATTAAAGCGAATAAAGACGTACACTTTTATACGCACCAGTTTTTATTTCATAATTAATTTTTGCTATTATTTTTTTTTTTTGCGTTTTTATATTAATTAATGTATACATGATAGACAAGTAATTATAAATAGGTAAAACAAATTATACTGGATTTACTTATTGAAACAACATAGATAAAAAATACTTAATGTGATGGTGTTACATAGAGTTTCAAGATTTAAAAATAAGTCATCCAGGCCCACAGTATAGAATACTATATTTTAACATAAGTGAAAACTAAAATTCATCATATATTTTTCCATCAGCTACATAGATAAGTACATGTGTGTTGAAAAGAATAGTGCTTTAAAAGTTGATTTTCAAATGCTGTAAATTGATTTTGACATCAAATGAACATTTTAATATAATACATATTACAAATAATTTATAAAAATTACAAACAAAAACTATAAAATTATTAAGTGATTAGTTTAATATTATATGACTGTTACTGTCATCTTTTCTGTTAACCATGATGAGCGTTTGGAACCAATTAAATGTAGAACATGCTACTTCCGCAATATCAAGGGATGATCTTAGAATTAGTACTCGCAGAAGAACTTTAGCGGTAATTTTGTTTTCATTAATGGTGTTACTATCTTTAAATTCCCTGCATGTTTTAGTGACAAGTTTTTTATTAAACGTCTGTTAAATTAGACAGGCAAGATTATTATAACAAACAAATCCAAATTAGCAGAATCGTTACAATACTTTGGCTTATTATAATTTAGTGCTGCAAAATAAAATTTTACGCTATATAAGATGAACAAATTATTCGCCAAAATAAGAGCGATTCTGCTGATTTGGCCATTCTAGCTTAACAGATGTTTTTCATTATTCCATTTATAATTAATTCATTCACCAAGATGTCTCGTAGTAAAATTGGTATGATTCACAATTTTGGCATCAAGATATTTGTAAGCTATATGACTAGGACATAATTTATTAAGCTTAATATTTTAATGTATTGCAAAAACTGTAATAGAAAATTTTATTTTCATATCAACATATTCCAAAATTGACTTTGATTTTATGTTATAAGGCCTATAGTAGTAAAATAAAACAATACAATGAGCCAACAATTTTAGTAGCGAAAAAATTTTGTTCTGATGCGATGTCATATTTTTCCATCAATACTAAAAAAAAAAAAAGTTTTGTTTTCATTCTACGTAAAGTTTTCTTAGTGGTTGTTAATTTAATTCTTTTTTTATCATAATTTTAATGTCATTAGTTGTAATATATTAATTATATTGAATTATTCGACCCCGCATTGCTACAAGACCGAATTCAAGGTAAGCCCGACGTCATCACAACAAAGATAGGACGAAAAATTGATGAGTTTTACTGAAAAATAAAATAGTACGATGATGTGAATTCTAAGTGCACCTAGATAAATCCCGTTGAGATTTAAAATTAATTTTAACCAACGTCTTTGTATATATTTAGTACACACGCTTGCGCAATTAGATAGAAACTTGTCGGATTCCTTCGAATATTGCAGCGGGTGCACGTTCCCTTGACTTGTCTAGTGTTTATCCATTCAGTTATTATATTTTTTAATTTTAATTTTTTAAAATTTATTGTTAATTTTACTTTATAAACTGATAAAATAATATACATGAAAAAATGGATTTGGGAGGAGTTGATGTTTGGGGACAAATTGCTTTGGAGACATCGCAGATGTATGTTGAAGAAGGTGGTGTCATTAAAAGTAGATTCGCAAGTACTGTAAGTTCAATGAGATCCAATTCAATCAATTTCAAATATCATTATAAAATATTTAGAATACATTTAGAAATTTGCATTTGATTTATATTAATAATATCTGATGAAAATTAATTTTAATACTTTTGAAACATTTCAGACGATTGAAAAATTACCTGATAAAGTAATTCTCAACATCTTTGCGTACCTGTCTCATCGTGAAATTTGTCGATTAGCTCGTGTTTGTAAACGTTGGCGACAAATAGCTTATGATACAAGATTATGGAAACATGTTTCTTTAAGGCCTGAGATCAGTGGACTTCATGTTAATTCACTTGAAATGCTTCTACAACTTATAAGGTATGAATAAAAAAGTATCTATATTTGAAAGAATAAATGAAAGGAATGTATCAGTTAAATTTTTTTTTTTTTAATTCTAATTATTCATTAAATTTTTTTTTTTGCTTTTCTCAAATATATTAATAGAAAGTATAAAGATTTTTTACAATTAATTTTATCAAATAAATATATTGTGATTACAGCGTGCGATTTGGACCTTCATTGAGATACATTGAATTGCCAATTGAACTTATTACTCATACTGTACTACACGAACTGGCTAACAAGTGTCCAAATTTGACTGCCATGCTTTTGGACTTTTCAACAGCGATGCAACTGCATGATTTTTCTGAAATGCAAGCATTTCCAACCAAACTTAAGTACATGTGTATTTGTTTATCTGAAGTTATTTTCATGGAAGGTTTCATGAGAAAAATTTATAATTTTATTAATGGTCTTGAAATTCTTCATTTGATTGGTAATAATGATAGATTAATAGCAAAATTAATTAATTGATAGCATGAAAATTGAAAATAAAAAATTCTTATTTATCTAGGAACTTATGAGAAAATTGAGGAAGAAGAAGAAGAAATTTATGAAGTAATAAATGTTCATAAATTGAAGTCAGCGACTCCCAATCTTCGTGTAATAAATTTATACGGAATAAATTTCGTGGATGATTCACATATTGATGCATTCTCATCCAATTGTATACAACTTGAATGCTTGGCAGTCAATTTTTGTTCAAAAGTTACTGGGTCGACGATGAAGACATTATTTCAAAGAAGTAGAAGATTAAAATGTCTTCTTATGCAGGGAACTAGTAAGAACTGTTATACATCAGTTAAAACAACAATTCTAAACATTTAAATACAATCATTAAGGACTTAGAGGTGTAATTTTCAGACCTTCAAAGCGAATACGTCATGCAAGTTGAGTGGGAAAAATCGAGTATCCAAGAATTAGACGTTACTGCCACAGATTTGTCAACTGAATGTTTGATCGATATGTTAACTAGGATTCCTGGTTTAAGATTTTTAAGTGCTGGGCAATTAAATGGTCTTAATGACAGCGTTCTCAAAGCTTGGGCTGACATTGGCAATCCAAGAAATTTAATAGCAGTCGATCTTGACAGATCTGACAATCTTACTGATGATGCTCTCCACAAATTCCTTTCACGATATGGTCATCAGTTATGGGGCATTTCGTTATCTGGTATGCCACATATAACTGATCAATTGTGGCAAAGCGTATTACCAATACTCACAAATGCTAAGTAAGTTTTATTTAATTAATTGTGTATACTTTTTATTAATATTTTAAATATTATTACTGTTAATAGGATTCTTGTTATGGGAACACAAGAAAGACTTGGAGTTAATATTCACGTAGATCAGTTGATGGATGGTATTGCAAATAATTGTCCAAATTTGGAAAGATTGGAATTACGTTGGGACCCTGAGAATCTTCGTTTTTCAGATAAAAGCCAAAAAGCTATTGACGTTTTACGTGTAAAATGCATTAAACTCAAATGTCTGGTCCTCAGGTAAAATTATATACAATAATATCAATTAATTAATTAATTAATTAATTAATTACATTGATTATAATTGTATTACGCGCCTCCTCCTCAAGATCACCAAACGCAGTACCCTGACTTTAGCCCAGAATGCCACAATATTTAAAATAAGAAACTTAAAATATTGAAGTTATTTACTTAACTCTGGTACGGTATTCAGTTGTCTCGATTTTCATTATTTAAAGATTTACCGATACGTCTATAACGGACTAAAATTTTTTAGTAAGGGTTATTATAGGGTGGGACTGATCTTTTCGGAGGAGGCGCTTCATACAATTATGATATAGAACTTCACTTAGGTAAGTTCGTTTAATCGTCAAATTATAATTATAATTATCTTAGAACTTTATTTATTAATTGCAGTGATGGAAGATACTACGAAGTAGTAAAAGCAAACTTTGAGCGTGCAGACAGAACTACTGTTGTTCGTACGACAACATGCTCCAGAGTTACTAACTACTACCTGTTGCAGAATTATAAAGACTTGATCTTTAATTGATTTAAGTTTTTTTTAATACTTTATATTTCTGTTGCTTTAAAATAATTTTTGCTTATTTATGTTATAACAGCCTATTAAAAATTTGAAAATTATTTTTCTGATAACAATTCTCAGTTATTATAAAAATTTTTCTGGAAATCAAAAATAAAAAAAGATATATTTCAATAATTTATTATCTATTATTTTAATGAAATATTTTTTAATATTATTGTATTTTTATACTACTTATTCCTGGACATTTACATATTGTGTACATACGTGGGGTGTATCAAGAAAGCGCAAGCGCGTTTTTTGTCTCATTTTATCAAGTACGAATGGGGTTGTGTTCCTGGGCATATATACTGCCTGAAAGATTGACACAAATCGTCACGCGAGTAATAATGTTATCGATTGTATGGTAATTTATTCATGTAAAACGATGGAGAAAGTCTTTGTTGAGTGGTCGTTTCAGACAGTACAATTTTATATTGCGTTGAGTGCACAACGTTTAAAATAATTTAAACCATACAAGTTTTTACCCGTTTAAATGAACGAATTAGATGATGATTTAAAAGAAAAACGACTGAAAGTCGTTTTAGTAGGAGATTCTGGTGCCGGCAAAGTAAGTTAAATTATTTTATTTTGTTTCGATTACGAGACAAAAATTACATTAATAATTAAATAACTAAGCGACGTAATAATAGTAGTAAATGTTGCTAAAAAATATAAAGAATTAAAATTATAGATTTTATTGTTCAGACAAGTATAGCAACAAGGTTTTGCAATGATGAATTTACAAGACAATACAGTCCAACGGCTGGAATTGATTTTTTTATGAAAAATCTTTCTTTGGGTCCATATAAAAATGTTAATATTTTTGTATGGGATGTTGGTGGACTATCATTACGAGGAGCTATGTTGGATAAATACGTTTATTGTGCAGAGGTAATTAAATAATATTTATTAATATTTTATTAATATGATATTTCTACGATTTATTACCAATAATATCATTAAAAATAATAACTTAAATTATTTATTTTAGATTATCCTTTTAGTTTACGATGTTACCAATAGTTCAAGTTTTGAGATTCTTGATGAATGGATTGCTGTAATAAATGAAATAAATGATAAACAAGAAGAAAATAAACCATTAATGGTAATTATTGGAAACAAATGTGATATGGATCATCAAAGAACTGTCAAACGAGATAAATCACACCGATATGCAGCAGAAAAAGGTTTTATTTATTATGACATGTCTGCACGAACTGGTGAAGCGGTAATTATTTTTTATTATTTTTATTACTACCTTTTAATAATTATTAGCTTATTATTTGCTTTGATTAATGATAAATATTTGTTTCTCAGGTAGCTTTAACGATAGCAAATCTTGCTGCTAAAGTACTCGGTGTACAATTGACGAGAGTGGACCAAGATTTTCATAAACCAATTATTACAGCCGAAATCGGAGACACTGTTGATATGCCAACGATACAAAGAATTGTCAAAAGACATCCTACTAAGAAATCCATCTTGAATAACAACTATCCAACTCTTCCACTATCCAAATCAACAGTGTGCTCATTACAATAATACATATGGTGTATTTACGTATATATATATAGTTTCACAGTACCTTGTAAATTTTATAATTAATTGTTTTAGCAAATTTTTTATGTGTGTAAATGTAAGGAAAAAAAATTATTTATGCAAATATATTAAATTTATTAAAAAATTTCGTATGAAAAAACGAAAGATGTATTGTAATTAATTAAAAAATTTTCAATTGAATTTTATAACAATAGTAAAGTGTAATTGGTAAGAATATCTTTTGCAATTATTGTTTTGATTTTGTATTTTCTCTGAAAGTAGGTAAAAATTAGCTGTTAAAAAAATGACATTGAAATTAGAAGACAATTTTTAAAAATTTTTCAAAAAATTCATTGAAAAAAAAAAAAATTTTTTTAATTTGTACTTTAAACTTTTCCTAATTTCGACATGAGAAATTTTTTTTATGATAATTTAATCGTTATAAAAATCTAAAAAATTGTTAGATGTCTACCAAGTTCAGTTTCATTTAAAAAATTATAATTTAACAATAATTTTTTACAACTAAACAGTTAAAAACAACTATTTTTTAATGAAATTAGATTATAATTCGCATTTGATAGTTTTAACTTTATTATTGATTTGAAGCTTATTTAGTTAAACCGTTTAATTAATGTGAGTTCTAAAGAAATGAAAAGAAAAATTTTTCTTCATTGAACATTAAAAAAATACTAATTATTATTATAAGCAGCCTATGAAGGGTAGAGGTACCTCTGCCCTCCATAAAGCAGCCTAAATTCTAAATTCATTAAAAATTCAAATAAATAACCCGATAACACACCGCCATCTATTATTAAACCTTAAGACCGTCTTTTCTATCACCTGAAAGAGGTTGACGGAACCTCTCTAGCAATTGGTTGAATAACATTTCATTTTGACCAATAGAATTAGTTGCTTTGAGGATTAAAACTTCAGTTACACTTGAGAAATCTCCCTAAATTTTCATTAGTTATTATTTACTTTTAAATTTATAAAAATATGGCGGCGTCGTTGGTGAGAGCATGCTTTAAATCATAGTAGGTATTTATGTAATCATTTATCCATAATTAAACAACTTCAGTGTCACTGTTTCTACAATAATCAATTTCCAACAATCGGGTAATTTTTATGCCCTTTAAATTGAAATTATTTTTTAATTTTCAATTCATAACCTAAGCTTTTGTCTAATAGTAATTTATTTGATATTTATACACAAAGTTTAGAGTTAATATTTTCTCAACAGTCCATCGACAAGATTTTTGTCGGAGATTATTAAAAATGCCGATCGTTATGGAGATGCAAATAAATTTATTTATGCTAAAACATGCATTGAATGCAATTGCTATCATACAACACCAGTGTTTTTTAAAAGGAGGAAAACTCAAGAAGAAAAGGTAAATAAACATTAGAAAAAACTACTACTACTACTAAGAAGTATTATGAAATTATTAATTTTTATTCATGCAGGTACAGTTTACTCCAAAACCAAAGGCTAAAATTAAACTGCCAGTTATTGATGTTTGGAAGAATATGACAGTAAGAGAATTATCTGAGTCTACTGGAAGATCAATAAACGATGTTTTAGAAGCTATTTCTTACTTTGATGCTCAAAGATACAATAAAAATACTATTATTGAAGATAAACGAATCATATTTGGAGCAGTAGCTAAATTAGGAGCTAAATATAAAATCGTTCCTTCACCCCACGAAGAGAAACATGAAAATAAAGATTGTGATGCCGTCAAAAGGTAAATTAAACGTGATAAAGTTTTTCAGAAAAGAGCCGGTCCCAGCTATTGTAGCTTTGTAAATTTCATAAATTGTTAATTATCTATTTTGTAGCAAAGCATTTTTTACGAAATTTTGAGTTGTTTAAAGAAAAATTAATTAATCTGCAATAGTTTTGTTGTTACTGAGTGCAACAAAGATAGTACGGTTTCTCTCGATAAGTGCAAGGAGAGAAAAAGATGGGATCCATTCTTAAGAGCTTAATGACAGCAGTGTTTTCTAGAATTTTTTTTTTTTTTTTTTTTTTCATTTTTTTTTTTTTTTTATT